GGTATGATTGTCGATGAATCAAACTTATTTTTGCTATAGCAATAGAGTCCATTACTTATTTTTCGTATATAAGTGGGGTTTCGAGTCTATAAATCTCATCTAACTGATTAACTGGTAGTTTTGAAACTTTAATATTACACTAAAAATAAGTAATGTAGTTGATTGTTATAGCAAAATACGCTTTATTTATCGACACTCCCACCAAAGTATGTGATATGCGAAAAGGCCTGGCATTCCTTAAAATTGACATCTGACCTGTAACCCAAGGACATTCGTGGCAATGAGGTTGAGTGTTTAACATGTTATTCAGCTACTACAACCTTATTTTAGTATAACCTGCTGCTATAGGCATAGTGAATATCCTCTGCCGCTCCCTAAATCACGACCTAGGCTGACTCTGTTTTTATTTAAAAGAAAGATGATAACATCGAAACATAAATAAGCTGAAAAAAGTGTGCATGTATACATTAAAATATGTATTATATTTTTTTAATATTTGACTTGTTTGGCTCCCAAAAAGCTATTATGTACATTTTAGTATAACGCCGAGTTTGTGACAGGAGAAAAAAAGCCACTATCTCGACTTCGGAATGTAATGTATTATTCCTGTGCGTGCCTCAGCAGACGAATCCCACCAGATTTAAGAAAAGTAAGTTTGTGAGCACTAAGCTTATATGGGAGGATCTATCTTATGCCTTAATTTTATTTGTTCTTCTAGACGCTTTTTATGCTTTTACCAAGCAGCAAATTATTCGTCCATATAGAGTTGGCCTGACCTCGCTTTTTAACATAGCCATCCTATAAGGGAAAATTAAAAGGTGACACTTTGTCCTACATACTCTGCAATGGTTATAATGATACTTTCCAGATTCTGAACTTTAACTTGGTGCATTTTCACAAATCTCGCCGGTATCTCTGAAGGCATTGCTAGTAGGAAGCGTCCTCCTTCTAACGAACAACGATTTTCATAGCAACAAATGAAAGCCATAACCGTGGATTATTTATATTTAACCGTCTATGTTCATTAGAACAAATATTAGATCTCAATAAAGTAGGAGTTGTAGCCACCTCAGATTTCACGAGGTGATCAATATGACATTTATTTCACTAAGCTCTGCCTCCAAAAGACTATCTTTATCAAGAGTGGACTGAAGCTTAAACTTCGCCTCTTTAAAAATAAACTATTTCGAGTCCTGGTCGATTAAGCAAAAGTATATTCGTTATAACAGTCAAATACACTACTTATAGTTATATTGAGTAGGCCTTATAAGTTATCAGTAGATCTTGGATAAAAGCTGTATTTTCCATGCTTGTATGCAACTATCCCTCTGTCATCATCATATACTACCTATGTAGAATACAAAACTTATACAGCAATTAATGTTTCACCAATTTATCTCCTTACATCCATTACTACATTCATTTTTTGAAACAATGTTAAGAAAATGTCGTTTCAAATAGAGTTAGCTATGTGCAATCATCCTCGCAACCAGCTTCATGTCCCATTGTTTTTTTGATGCTGGAAAGTATCCTGAATACCAGGGTGGAGGAAACAGAACTAAATGCGTCCTTCTAGATCCCACTAACGTCAAGAAAATGTTGTGAAAATGAGGTCAAGCAACTTGATGCAGCTAAAGAAGAATGTGATAACACCAACTAAGTATTCCCATGTATTCCCATCACTATGCCTGACCACTAATTTGCCAACCAGTGGTGATCAGCAAATCCGGCGAACCTGATTTTGGGCCATGAAGTTGTCCACTAAAATTGGGGTCAGACACAATTTCCAAGAAAATTCTTTTGAGGAAATCGTATACTTTTAATCTCACTGGAGCTCATTTTTATAGCTTTTTAGATAAAATATGGAAAGAAGCTCTGAAAAGGCCTGCTGCATGTGGCCTAAAACGATGAGAGTAATTGAAACCGCGATTGATCGCTTCCTATATCATATCATATAGAGAGTTTGTCATGGTGGAAAAATGTATTTGGCATTAAAATAGATTATGTTACTTGTTTTTGATTTAAGTAGCTATTAATACTAAAAGTAATTCTTAAATATGAACCTGATTCACTCTAGGTTGCTTAAGGTGATTACCTTGAAATTATATCTGTCCTGTGACCAACTGACCCTCTTGGTTTTTCTCGGGGTCGTAATATACCTTCACTTTTTGCGCTTGTCCAGGTTCAGAATTCCGTAGGAGAGTTTTTGAAACCAAGGCAAGATAAAAAATATAGTTCCTCCTGGATGTGAAAACCCTTTTGGTAGACAAAGCTAAATGGAATTAAACTTTATGGTGCCAAAACCAACCATTAGTCAATACATCAAATAATGTTGTTACGGGTGATCACTAATAAATGCTTTTGCCACCTTTGGTTATTTATTATGCCAAGTTACTGATAGAAAATTGTGGCATAATTAATTAAATAGACCTCATGATTCTAATGAATTTATCCCGGCATTTCTTTCTCATCCAGGATTGATTGTCGGTGAGGTCAAGACTGTGGCCCAATCTGGATAAAAATGCCTTTTTTGAAACAAGGCTATGTGAAAACTAGTGGAATTATGAGGTCTACACATCGCATTCTGGGAAAGTTCATTGCCACTCCCTCATCACCTTAAGCGACTTAGAGCGACTAAAACTCTTATTTAAAAAATGCCTACATCAAAAATGAAATAAAATTTCCTTTTCTGGCTCAAAAGGCCGTCAAATAACCACATGCATTGAGATAAAGAACAACAAGTCCTCACAGGTCACAACTGGAGTGACACAGAAGTTCCACATGAAACTACAAGCGAAACGGTATTTTTAAATAACCACTTCAATAAATTGCTAACATTGAGAGGTCGAGTCGTACCTGCCTGCTAAGCAGAGCCATGAAATGCACATATTTCTACATAAAAATAAACGGATCAATTGACGAAGGACAAATAAAGAGAAATAGCCAGTCCGATAGATAAATATTTTTAAAAATGCGATAATACAATGGCAAACCATAAATCTTTTTCAGGAATTAATGTAATAAGCGGCCCTTATAATTATATGCTTCGTGTTCTATTTCTATCTACTCTGAGTGGACTTTTTCTCTTCCCTTCTTATTTGCCCTCCTCTTGTTGCTTTCTTTCTTTTACTCCTCCATGATTTCCTTCTTAATTTTCATCAGTCCTATTAGAATTACAATAATCTTCCCTTCCTTCTTAGCCATTTAGCCACTTCATATCTATCATATCTTTCTTTTGTTCATTTACTTTATGCACCACATCTTATTCATTCTTTTTATTTACCTCATAACATAACTTATTTTGCTCCTCCCTGGTATATATTATCCAAAGAATATACCTAAATTTGCTTTGCATAGGGGTATATTATGTTAAATGCGTTTTGCATTCAACTGATAGCGACTCTGTAAACGAGAATTAAATAAATGAAAATGATTTTTGTGTTTAACTTCACTTTGCCATCTATCTGAGATATCTAGAAAACAAGTCTTTTAAAATGATGAAGTTAATAGAGATAGGATGTTAGTGGTAAAAGTATGGCCTAGAAACGAGCTTGCTTTTCCATGGTTTGCACCCCACCTGGCGTGCTGATGCTACGATCAGGTGAGGTCAAAATTGCCAATCAATCTGGATTAAAACGGGCTTTTGGTGAAGATGTTGTGGAGGAATTTAGTGAAAAAAATCAAAAGTTTTCTTTAATCTATCGTGTACAGTGTTACATTAAGCTCAATGTAAAAAGCAGCCAAACTGAGAAAGATGTACCGGTGGGTGTAAAACAGAACTACAATAACTTGCTCAACCAACTTTGTCTATCTAGAAGTTGCTTGACCTTGTTTTCACAACTTGGTCATATTGGTAGGAAGACTTAGAGAAACACACCTTGTCCAGAGTCCATTGTATGCATCATCATTCCCAGAGTAGGACCGTAGACGTGGTACATTCCCAGACGTTTCGCCGGCATCGTCAGTGAGTCTTGCCATTCGTAGCACCATATTACAACTCAGCAAAGGACAAGTGAAGCTCATCCTTTGACCAAACGTTTGCTAAACATTTGTGATATCTCCTCTATCTGCTATGACCTAATCACATTTCCCATATCCTCCTATCACCTCATCACTGTTACAATTTTTACTGTGCTTATTTAGATGTAGTCTGGTGGCTCCTTCGAGCGGCATTCATGAAAACCCTTTCACACTCCACATTGTCGTTACCTCCCCTTCACCCTTGTGCTGGGAATGTTGACCAGAGTCTCTCATTTTGTTACGTAGTCCTTCCCTAGGCCCTATCAAAGTTTCCTTCTTGGGAGACACCATTTTGGTCTTCATACCTTTGTCTATCTATTTCAGTTGCTGGACTCTTTACTTAAAATCTTATCTTACCTCGGCTGAATCTATCGCATCCGAGGTCGGACTGCCGGTAGCGCGGCGGCCGGCGGCGCCGGCCCTTCCCGTGGCCACTTTAATCAGTCCGCGCTCCATCTCCTGCCCCGCCAACTCAGCAAATCCACTCCTTTGCATCAAATTTGCACCATCAGTTCCGCTGCTCTGAAGTCCGCCGGCGGCTCCTTGACTCTTTTCATGCCAAGGCAATCTGCTGATTGCAAATTTACTGCTCCTAGCACCATTATCTTCTCCCTTGGCCGCCAATCTACTTCTATCTTCCCCCTTTCTCTCCTCTCCTTCGTCTTCCAGTTCCGTACAGTCCAAATTTTCGATTCCGAGCGCAATTTTGCCACAAGGCCTTTTTGCTCGTAGTGGTATTCCAGCTTGTAAGGCAATCGCTTCGTTCTGACCGGTTGGCAGCAAATAAATATTTAAAAGGAGAACGCATAATGCATTAATATTTTATACTAACTGCTGTATTTAATGAACATTTGGACTGAATACTGTTCCAGCAAAGAAAAGATTGTTCAATCCGCTTTTGATACAACCGTCACATAGTTATGAAGAAGATTAAGACGCACTGGTCAGACCACCATTTTATACGACTCCATTCTAGTTATCCTCTGCCTCTACTATGAAAGTAAATGAAATTTACTTCCTGGTTATTTAACCCATCGACCTTCTAGAACCAATAATAAACGGTGTTACACAAGGTAGATATCCTCTGTTCCTCTGATCTGATTATTTTCGCGCCATTCAAGCAAGACTTTCACAATGTTATAAAACATGCTTCCTTTGAGTCTGTATTGGAGGTGAGTCACACTAGTCTGTTTATGATTAGTAGACTATGATTCTAATGTTGTAAAGCATACTACTGATTTGCCAATAGATAAAATTTTCCATTAATCAGTTATGCCAATATATCACAAAATTAATCTGCTTTTCCAGTTGTTATGATGAAGAATTATTATGCATGTGATTAATACCAGGTTTAAACTTTCGGCCAGCTCATGGCCGAAATATCGC